TCTGAGGGCTGCAGAATGGATGTTGTGTTAGCAGCATAAAAACAACATTCATTTCCTTGTACGTCTTCATCAAAGTTCTTAGGTGACTAGATGCATTGTCAATGAGCAGTAATATTTTGAAAGCAATCCTTTTTTTCTGAGCAGTAGGACTCAAAATTGGGCTTAAAATATTCAGGAAGGCATGCTGTAAACAGATGTGCTATCATCCAGGCTTTGTTGTTCCATTTATAGACCACAGCCAGAGTAGATTTAGCATAGTTCTAAGGGCCCCAGGATTTGAGGGAATGGCTAATGAGCACTGGCTTCAGCTTAAAGTCACCAGCAGTCTTAGCCTCTAACAAGAGTCAGTCTATCCTTTGAAGCTTTGAAGCTAGGAGTTGCTTTCTTCTCTCTAGTTATGAAAATCCTACATGGCATCTTCTTTCAATATAAGGCTAATCTGTCTACATGGATAATCTGTTATTTAGTGTAGCCATCATTATCAAGTGTCCTAGCTAGCTCTTCTGATAACTTGCTGCAGCTTCTGCGTCAGCCCCTGTGGCTTCACCCGGCACTTTCCTGTTACAGAGACGGCTTCTTTGGTTTGGCTGGCAAGAAGAGGAAGTTGGTTTGTTTTTGACATACAACTCATTTTTAAAACTTCAACAACAGGCCGGGCGCGGTGGCTCACGCCTGTAATCCTAGCTCTCTGGGAGGCGGAGGCGGGCGGATTGTTCGAGGTCGGGAGTTCGAAACCAGCCTGAGCAAGAGCAAGACCCCGTCTCTACTATAAATAGAAAGAAACTAATTGGCCAACTAATATATATAGAAAAAATTAGCCGGGCATGGTGGCTCATGCCTGTAGTCCCAGCTACTCGGGAGGCTGAGGCAGGAGGAATCGCTTGAGCCGGAGTTTGAGGTTGCTGTGACTAGGCTGACGCCATGGCACTCACTCTAGCCTGGGCAACAGAGTGAGACTCTGTCTCAAAAAAAAAAAAAAAAAAAAAAAACTTCAACAACAACAATTAACGCTGTGTGTGTAAGAGAGAGAAAGAATAAATGTTTTGTACTGTTTTAAGCTACTCACTTTTGAGTAATTTGTTGTGTAGCCACAGATAACAAATACATTGGATTTTCACCAAATTTGAAGGGCTTTTTTTGACAAAGAATGATGTAAAAATATATGCTATGTGGGACACAATGTATCTAATTTAGTGGTTCTGTGGTGTCACTCAAAGAATTGTTACCAAAAGTTTGATACTTGTCCAAGGCCAATTGGTGAGAATGAGGACGAGAGTTTGAGGAAAAGAAAGAGAAGTTTATTAATTTGTGGCATCTCAAAAGACCAGCATTCTGCCTTTAAGCAGAAAAACAGGGCTTGTACAGGGAGGTTTTGGTGGTAGGGCACCGGCCTACTTGACCAGTGTCACCTGTCACAGCTTTGGGCTATTGCTGCTTAACTATAACCAGGTTTTCAGTCTTGGGTCATTGTGACCTTATCTCCAGTGACCATGACTTGTGATCTTTGTCCAGACAATTCTGTTTTAAGATAATAGAGAACAAACAGCAAAGAACATTTTTCTGCTCCTTTGATCACTGGCCTCAGGATGGAATGCAAGAGTTTATTTTTGTTTTTGTTTTTGTTTTTTTTTGTTGTTGTTGTTTTTTTTGAGACAGAGTCTGGCTTTGTTGTCCAGGCTAGAGTGAGTGCCGTGGCGTCAGCCTAGCTCACAGCAACCTCAAACTCCTGGGCTCGAGTGATCCTTCTGCCTCAGCTCCCGAGTAGTGGGACTACAGGCATGCGCCACCATGCCCGGCTAATTTTTTTTTTTTTTTTTTTTTTTTTAGGGAGGGAAGGAAAGGAAGAAGGGAGGAAGGGTTAGGGGTTAAGAAGGGAGAGGGCAGTCTAATTTTTTATATACATATCAGTTGGCCAATTAATTTCTTTCTATTTATAGTAGAGATGGGGTCTCGCTCTTGCTCAGGCTGGTTTTGAACTCCTGACCTTGAGCAATCGCCCCACTCGGCCTCCCAGAGAGCTAGGATTACAGGCGTGAGCCACCGCGCCCAGCTGTTTTTGTTTTTTTTTTGAGACAGAGTCTCACTCTGTTGCCCAGGCTAGAGTGAGTGCCGTGGCGTCAGCCTAGCTCACAGCAACCTCAAACTCCTGGGCTCAAGCATCCTGCTGCCTCCAGCCTCCCGAGTAGCTGGGACTACAGGCACGCACCACCATGCCCAGCTAATTTTTTCTATATATATTAGTTGGCCAATTAATTTCTTTCTATTTCTAGTAGAGACGGGGTCTCAGCTCTTGCTCAGGCTGGTTTCGAACTTCTGACCTTGAGCAATCCACCCGCCTCGGCCTCCCAGAGTGCTAGGATTATAGGCGTGAGCCACCGCACCTGGCAGGAATGCAAGTTTTAATTCCGAAAAAGGGTGGGGATTTTAAAGAGACAACTCATAAAACATTTTATTGCCCTTTTCAGACCTTTCACTCTGCTACAAAATTGGCAGTCATACGCCAGAGCAAATCAAAGTGATGGGCAACATGAGACTGTTTACTGTCCAGCGGCTTCTTACATGGGCAAATCATGCTTTAGGCTGATTATTAATTTACTTATTTAATTTCAATTGGTAACAGGGAAGAACACAAAGGTTTAGCTAGTCTTTGATACAGAAATACCATCAACTGGCCTCCATATGTCATGGAGTTTTATGAAAGTCAAAGTAAGCAATACTGTTGCCAAACCCACAGAGGAGCTCCAGCCTAGGGTCTGGTTGCTTGCTACACAGAAGGCCGAGTACTGAGAAAATGAGGATTGCCAAGGAAGAAGGGGAATTTATTATGGATGAGATAATCTGGGAGATGGAGAACTATAGGGGACTGACATATATTTTCCTATTTTAAGAATTAAAGTTAGTGAGTAATGTACGTGTTCTGCCCAAAGTGTTTTTTTTTTTTGACACAGAGTCTCACTTTGTTGCCCAGGCTAGAGTGAGTGCCGTGGCGTCAGCCTAGCTCACAGCAACCTCAAATTCCTGGGCTCAAGTGATCCTACTGCCTCAGCCTCCCAAGTAGCTGAGACTACAGGCATGTGCCACCATGCCCAGCTAATTTTTTCTATATATGTATTAGTTGGCCAATTAATTTCTTTCTATTTATAGTAGAGACGGGGTCTCGCTCTTGCTCAGGCTGGTTTCGAACTCCTGACCTGGAGCAATCCGCCCGCCTCGGCCTCCCAGAGTGCTAGGATTACAGGCGTGAGCCACCTCGCCTGGCCCTGCCCAAAGTGTTTGAGAGTAATGTGTTCCAGACAGACTCCCTGCGATAAACAAGGCTGTTGCCTAGAGGCATAACAAAGGACCTGAGCTGCAACTAGTAAGAGCAGCCCCACTCCATGGCATTGGGGGTCTGGAGCCCACATGATAAACATATTGTTCCTGTGATTGCTGTGTACACCCCATAGGATGACAGGTTAGTCAATAACGGGTAAGACCCCTCAAGGGAGGGGCGACCTAAGCCAGCACAGCCACCGGGGTTCAGCCAAAGATCTTAGGGGTCACCCTAAGAGAAGCTGGGGATGAGAAATGCCCCCTGTGGCTGCCTTGCCCATCCTTGCCAATCTCGGTCTGTGATCTATGCCTAGTGCCTAGAGCAACCACCTGGAAACCTTGAGTCAGGGGATATCTGCTTCCCTAAGGCTATGTATTTCGGAATTATGGCCATTGCTGCAATGCCTGGGAGGTTACGTACAAGGAACTAACTTTAATTTTTTAGAGTATAAAAATAAAATGGACCCGGTGTATTATTACTCAAGTCAGCCGTTTTTCTTTGTGTTCTGCATTTGTGTTTTATGTTCTGTGTTCATCCTCCGTCCTGTAAACGGGCCACAATAGAGAACTGCCTCAAATCCATCTCCCTGACCAACTGAGGGCAGAGGTTTTTTATAAGGGGTTCAGGAAGGTGGGTACGTGTATTAAAGCAGGTTGTGTTGAAAAGCAACACACAGGAGGTCTCATTCAGAAGTCACAGATTAGTGATAGACAGTGAGTCTTGGTGTTGTTATCCTGAGAAGAATCTGCCATTTCTGGGAGACAATTCAAAAGGTAAAATGGTTAGCTAAACAGGAAGATTATAAAGTTCTGCTCACCAAGCCCTACAGGCCTGGGAATCCAAAGTGTACGAAAGCTGCAGGGAAAACATACATGGATGGGTGGGTGTCATTTTGTTTTTTCACGGAGCCAGTTACAATGTCAAATAATGTGAGGTTTGTATCTCTGTGATTATATATCAGTCAAGAAAGGTAGACTTTGCTATGGCAAAAAAAATCTTGAAAATCTTAAGATGTTCACAACATCCAAGATTTATTTTTGCTCATACTATATATGTGTCCATTGCAGGTTAGCTATGGCTCTGTGCATGTCATCTCACACCAGGACCCAGGTGGCAGAGCAGCCTCTAGCACATTCCTAGACCTCTGTGATTCCCTCCAAATGCGGCTCTATGGACCACCCACCCTGGTCCACTCACTGACATGTGCCTGTGTGTGCACACGCGCGCATATGCACGGGTGGGCACACACACACATCTCCAGTGCCCCCGTCTCTCTTCTCTGGTGGCTTTCTCTAGTGCCATGAGAACTTGCCAGACATTGAGGGCAGCCCCAAAGTGCCAGGGAATGAATGCCTCTGAAGGGTATCAGGGTATGCCATTCCAAAGTGTGCCATCTTGGCATAAGGATTGCTTTGAGCTGAAGACAATTATTAGGTTGGTGCAAAAGTAATTGTGGTTTTGGACCATGAATTTTAAATCATTATAACCAGGCTCAAACGCATCTTTATTAATTAAAATAGGAGCCATTACAATCAACATATTTTTGCCGAGAAATAAGTATGTTTATTCCTGTAGCATAAAAATCTGTGCTTCAGGATTAGCAGAACTTTTGAAAAGCATTTTCTGCGTCCTGCTAGTTGTGGAAGCATTTTCCCTGCAAAAAGTTTTCAAGATGCTCCAAGAAGTGGCAGTCAGTTGGCGAGAGATCAGGTGAGTATGGCAGATGAGGCAAAACTTCGTTGTCCAGTTCATTCAACTTTTGAAATATTGGTCGCACAACGTGCGGTCGGGCGTTGTTCTGGAGAACTGGGCCCTTTCTGTTGACCAATGCCGGCTGCAGGTGTTGCAGTTTTCGGTGCATGTCATTGATCTGCTGAGCACGCTTCTCATCTGCAGTGGTTTCGCCAGGATTCAGAAAGCTGTAGTGGATCAGACTGGCAGGAGACCACCAAACAGTGGCCATGACCTTTTTTTGGTGCAAATTTGGCTTTGGGAAGTGCTTTGGAGCTTCTTCTTGGTCCAACCACTGAGCTGCTGAGCTGGTAATCAGTGGTTTTACAAAATCCACTTTTCGTTGCAGGTCACAATCCGATAGAGAAATGGTTTGTTGTTGCTGAGTAAAAGAAGAGAAGACCACACTTAAAATGATAATTTTCCTTAATATTCAGTCAGCTCATGAGGCACCCACTTATCGAGCTTTTTCACCTTTCCAATTTGCTTTAAATGCCAAATGGACTGTAGAATGGTCGACGTTGAGTTCTTTGGCAACTTCTCGTGTGGTTGTAAGGGGATCAGCTTCAATGATCGCTCTCAGTCGGTCGTTGTCAACTTCCGATGGCCGGCCACTGCATCCTCATCTCAAGGTCCTCGTCTCCTTTGCAAAAATTCTTGACCCACCACCACACTGTATGTTCGTTAGCAGTTCCTGAGCCAAATGTGTTGTTGATGTTGCGAGTTTTCTCCACTGCTTTACGACCCATTTTGAACTGGAATAAGAAAATCACTGGAATTTGTTTTTTGTCTAACATCATTTCCATAGTCTGAAATAAATATAAAATAAACAGGAAGTAATAAGTCATTAGCAAAAAAAAAATAAAGCAAAAAATGTGCATTAAAATGATGTATAACATAACTACATTTGTTTAAGAATGTATTCCAATATCAAATGGCAAATTTCAACAATGCTGAAACTGCAATTACTTTTACACTAACCTAATAGCTTTCTTCCCTCTGCCTTTCTAAAACAAGGATATAAATTTCTCTTTGTAAAGGTAACATAAATTTCATAAATTTCCACCTGTAAAGATGACTCCCCTTCCCATATGAGGAAGAGCACTCCAGAGGCAAGTCTTATCACATGAAAGGCTCTTATCTGTGTGACAAATCTTACTAAACAACCCTTATTTACCAAACATTTTCTAGTCACTTTCCCATAAATTACCCCCCAGAGACCCAAACCCCTTTTCATTTGTCAACTAGAAGAAGAGATTATCTTCTTCACACTTTATCACAATTTGTTAACACCTTTCTACAGCTCACAAGTTTTCTCTTGTCTCAAGTGCCATCTGTTAAGAACCTTAGATGTCAACACACCATCTTGTCCATTAGTGAGAGTAGAGGTTTACCACCAAATTTGCAAATGAAAACATCAAGAATGGAGAAAGGTGACATAATATTTTCCAGAAAAGGTGACATTCTTCTCCTAGCATGGAAAGACTAATGGGTTATCTGAATAATATCAACAATCCACGACAGTTCTGTCTAGACAACAAGAAAAAAAAAAATAGAAAACCAGGAGAGAATGTTATAAATCTGCCTGCATCAAGGAATACAACGCCCACATGAAAGGCATTGACTGTGTGGATCAATTCCTTTTGTGTTCTTGCATTCCAAGGAAAACAATGAAATGGACAAAAAAAGTAGTGCTGTACCTTATAAACTGTGGACTTTTCAATTCATTTAGGGTGTACAATGTCCTCAAATCCACAAGCAGAAATGAAGTATAAATAGGTTTTGCTATCGGTGGCGAGAGACTGGATAATGGATGACAATGATGAAGGCTGTCCAGAACCAGAAAAATCTGTGCAGCCCTTCCCCTGGGGTGCAAGGAGAGCACCTCATAAAGATCACCCAAAAGGTAGTCAGGTGATATGAAGCAGCATGAACCTACATGTATTCCACCGAGTGGGAAGAAAAAATTTCCTACGAGAGCCTGCAGAGTTTGTGCCACCCATGGAAAAAGGAGCAAATCTAGATACTTATGTAAATTTTGTTTGGTCCCTCTTCATAGAGGAAAATGTTTTACGCAGTACCATACATTAAAAAAAATTAGGAACTTTAATTGTTAAATTAGTTGTTTGTTTGTTTTTATAAATAAAAATGTTATAATTATTGAAAAACAACACCTGCAGTGCATTATGATCTGTAGTTATGATGATTTAAATAACGTGCAGTTTGCCCAAAAAAGTGCGGTCCCTGGCATATGTCTTAGAGATTTCTATGTGGTTCAAAATGTGTTAAAATGGTATATAAGCCCCAAATCCTTGAGTCACATTGTTTTTGTGAACTTCTGTGTGTACATATATAATTAAATCTGTTTTATCTTCCTCCTGATAATGTCTTTTGTCAGTTTAATTCACATGACCTCATTTATTGGACTTAAGAGAGTAGAGGAAAAAGGTTTTCCTCCCCTTTTTCCTCCTCTACACCTCCAAGGGCAACTCATCAGTGAAGGAGTTTAGGGGATTTCACCTACTTCAACTCCTTGGTATAAAGAGGTTTTTTTTTTCTCTTCCTTTCTTTTTATTTTAATAGTCATCATGGTGGAGTATTGGGAAAAGTTTTCAATTAGCAATAATCATGCTTCGGATAAACCTCACTGGCTATGATACTGCTACTGCACAAAGCTTTGTTGTGGCCTGTTTACAGGACGGAGGATAAACACAGAACACAGACGCAGAACACAAAGAAAAATGCGGACACACATACAGACGGTTGACTCAAGTAGTAATACACCGGGTCAGTTTTATTTTTATACTCTAAAACATTAAAGTTAGTTCCTTGTATGTAACCACCCAGGCATTTCAGCAATGGCCATAATTCTGGAATACGTAGCCTTAGGGAAGCAGATATCCCTTGGCTCAAGGTTTCCAGGTCGTTGCTCTAGGCGCCAGGCATAGATCACGGACCGAGATTAGCAAGGATGGGCAAGGCAAGCCACAGGGGGCATTTCTCATCCCCAGCTTTTCTTAGGGTGACCCCTAAGATCTTCAGCTGAACCCCCAGCGGCTGTGCTGGCTTAGGTTGCCCCTCCTTTGAGGGGTCTTACCCGTCATTGACTAACGAGCCATTTTATGTGGTGTTTATCGTGTGGCCTCCAGACCCCCAATGGTGTGGGGCGGAGCAGCTCTTGCTTACTTGCAATTCAGGTCCTTTGTTATGCCTCTAGGCAGCAGCTTTATTACAGGGAGCCTGTCCAGAACACATTGCTTTCAAATACTCTGGGCAGAACACGTAAGATACTAACTTTAATTCTTAAACTAGGAAAATATGTGTCAGTCCCCTACAAAGCTTAAAAAGTATTTTGAATTAAAGGCCCTTAAAGATCAACAGGCATTGGAAGGGGCTTTCCCTCTATCTGCATAAAACCAGCAGACCCATCGAAAGTAACAATTGCCTTTCTTTTGCCTCCCTGTTATCCTAATATGTTGCAGGAAAGAAGATCAAGAATGCGACCATGGCCAGGCGCGGTAGCTCACGCTGTTAGGGACCGACCTTCCACAACCCCACCGGACAGAAAAACAGAGACATCGAGGATGTAATTACGCAAGAGGAGGTTTGTTTTCTGGCTAGCCAGGGTCCAAGCCCCAGAGCACCAACGCAGTGGCCACTCTCGCAGGCAAGGACCCCGACTGGGGTTGCAGCGTGCCTTTTATCCCTATGGTGCATACGCTATGCAGTGGCTGATCACGTGTGGATCATGCATTGACCTTTAACATGATTGGTTGGCTGGTAGCCCCACTATACAGGGGTTCGAACAATGCAAAGTTGGCGCAAACAAGCAAGCAAGCAACAGTTTCCAGAAGCTGGATGTTGGTTCCGGCTTCACTGGGGGTGTGGGCCTTGCAGGTATGCAATGTCTCGACCCCTCACAACGCCTGTAATCTTACCACTCTGGGAGGCTGAGGCAGGAGGATTGCTTGAGGTTAGGAGTTCAAGACCAGCCTGAGCAAGAGCAAGACCCCGTCTCTACTAAAAATAGAAAGAAATTAACCAGACAACTAAATCTCTCTCTCTCTCTCTCTCTCTCTCTCTCTCTATATATATATATATATATATATATATATATATATATATATATATATATATATATTTAGCTGGACTGTCCCGACCCGCAGGACCTTTTGTTACTTGTGGGGTCAAGGGGGACTGTGCCTGAAAGAGATGGGCAAGAGAAAGGAACAAGACCAAGCAAAGAGTTGTCAAGGTCTACTTTACTTGGATTCTTTGTAGGTTTATAAGCATACAGAAACAAAGAAGTAGAAACAGAAAAATAGAGTGGGGCGACGATGGGACTTGGGTCTGGGTTAATCAGACCCAATCAGCGTCTTATCGGTATCCTGTTTGTGACTGGTTACTCATCTCCAACCTGGCAGGTGGTCGGGAACAATTGCAGTCAGCACTCCCTGGAGCATCCCGTGGTCAGCATGTCATGGAATGCATTCTTCTCGGAGCTATAGCTGGAATTTTCCAGGGCGAAGCCCATGCGTAGGACGAGTCATAGGGGAGTTGAGGGTCTTTGAGGGTCCTTGCCTCTAACATCTCCCCCTCTCTTTATTAATAATATGAGGGAGATTTATATAGGTGGGTGGAGAGCCTGTTTTAGGCTACGTGATGGGCTTTTGTGACCAGCACCCCAAATATAAGATTGGGCAATTAACCTGAAGGTGAGGCCTCTGTCTTAGGCTATGTAGGTGGCATCTAGCTCTGGCACTTTTGATTATGAAGTGTGCCCCCGGGCATGGACCTACAATATTTCCGTCATGGAGTCACCTCACCGTCGGCGGGGTGTGCATCTGGTACACGGCATCGCAATAATCTCATCATGGGCGTCTTCACAGCCTTTGGAACCAACTGCGTTCTATGTCTGAGGCAAGGTCTGAGAAATTTAGACCTTCAGTGGGTGTGTTGGGAGACTCTCCACGGAGGTCTTCTCTGGGGCCTCTTTGTTCTAGCCGTTGGTAAAACACGGAGACCGATTTTTGTGTAGCTGCGTCTACCTGTGACTTGACAAAATTAGTTAGTTTTTTGAATGCCCAAGGCCTAAAGGTGAGGAGCAACAGAAAACCTACAAGCGGCCCTAAGACACTGGGAAGCAATGTGGATAGCCAGGGGGATGTGGAAAACCAATTTTGATGCCATGCTTCACTCTGTTCTCTCCGTTTTTTTCTATCTTCTAGGCTCTGTCTAACTCTTTCAATGCTATCTTTTACCAGACCTGTTTTGTCTGCATAGAAGCAAAATTTTTCTTTAAGTGCTGCGCACAAACCTCTCTCTTGGAGGAACACTAAGTCTAGGCCTCTTTTATTTTGTAATACTACCTCAGAAAGTGAAGCGAGGGATTCTTTGAGATATTTTAGGCCCTGCTGTAGCTCTTGGAGATTATTATCGATGGCAGCAGAGAGCTGCAGGTATTGCTGGTTGGAGGTGACTAGAGAGGCTATGCCTGTTCCAGCCCCTGGCCCAAGGCCTAGAACAACTGCGAGTGTTATGGCCGTGATGGGCTCTCTCTTTTTTTGGGGCATTGTGGTGCCATGCTCCCAAAATTTGAGCAATTTGTCAGCAGGATGTACAGTGAGTCTGGGGAAGAGCATGACTAACACACAATATTCTCTATGCTCAAGAAACATTGCAGTGACTACATACGGGGTAAGGCTGGAAGAACAAGCAAAATAAGAGGTGTTAGATGCCTGAATATACTGAAAGGTGGAGTCGACAGTAATTGACTGATTGCATATTTTTTTTAAGGGTGCGGGGGGGGGAAGCATTCTTGGGCTAAGAAGGCAAAGGTCTAGGCCTGTGATTTGGCTGAGTGTCAGGCCATCAGGGGTCTCTAGGCCCCATCTGAGTTTGCTGGTGTCGTTAGTAAATAATCCTGGAATGGGGGAGACTCTTGTTTTTTTGGGAAATATTATAGGTGTCTGATAGAGGAACTGAATTAGTTTATTAGGGGGGTAATGATTATTTAGTTTGCCCTGGAAAGACGTACAGTTAACTGCCCAATCATCATCATTTTGTATTAGCCACCGAATTTGAGAAGCATTGTAAGGGAGTATTATGATATCTGGATCCTTTCTAAAGAGCTTAAAGGAGTTTTCTTGCCCCAAGCGAATAATCTTAGCTACTAAGTAAGGGTAGGTGGGAAGGACTTTAGGGGGGGAAGCCGACAGGTGAACCCAAAAGAGAGGCTTGCCCTGCCAAAAGAGTCCCGTGGGCGAAAAGGGGGTAGGGAGGACAATAAAGTACAAGGGGAATCTGGGGAGAAGTAGCCAATGGCCTGGGCATTTATGGCCTGCTCGACCAACTTAAGCGCTTGCTGCCCTTCTTTAGTTAGGGAGCATGGAGAGGTTGGATTGGCATCTCCCTGCAGGATGTCAAATAGGGGTTTTAACTGTCTTATAGTGAGTTTTAAATATGGGCGAAGCCAATTAATGTCGCCTAGAAGGCACTGAAAATCATTAAGGCATTGAAGAGAGTCTTTTCTGATTTGCACCTTTTGAGAGAGGACTTTATTGGGGAGCAATTTAAAGCCTAGGAACAGGTGAGGGGGGCAAACCTGAATCTTTTTAGGGGACAGGGGGAGGCCTCGAGCTTGTAAGGCCGAGACAACCTGCATGGTAACTTGAAGTAAGGTTGCCTCGTCGGCTCCGGCGAGAAGAAATGTCATCTATATAATGAATTATATATAGCTGAGGATGTTGAATTTTAAAAGAATCAATTGTCTGAGCCACATATTTTTGGCAAAGG